ATTCCGCTATCTCCAGTAAGCGATACTTCACTTTCCTCTCTTTCTTTCCGAAGCTCTGCTTGGAGAGTAAGAGTTTAAGGGTGAGCTTTCTTACAAAAGCTATATTTTTTTACTTGCAGGGCTTGTTCCTGTACCTGAACGCATAACACATATCTCCGGACATACCTAACCAATTTCAGATAAATTCGGTAGGTAACATTACCTTTGCATTCCCATGTCATAGTGTAAAAATGGAAATCGAACAAAAAACACAATTTTAAATTCCATTTGTGTTTTCTTTACTTTCCAGTATACAAATCAAGCATCAGTGAATAGACATGGATAAAATTTTCCACAAATATTGCCTTAGGTATTCTGTCTCGAGTCTAGAAATAGTCAAATTCGGAAGATAACTCTTCAAGCTTACTTTTTGCGAAAATGCCATACATGATAATACTATGTCTGTATATTAAAATTGTTTGGAATCGGGTCGTATACCTAATAAAAAGATTTTAAAATTTCCGACTGACCTTATGCTGTATATATCGACTAATATGTGAGTTATCCCAATAAAATGAGCGTGCTTTTCTAAAAACGTCGCATCTTTGAGCTTAAAATGAATAAAATCGGCCCATCTAGATAATATCAGAACTTTGAAACATCCGTTTGACGTTAGTCATTATATTGTATATTGATGGTGGTATCTGAGATATCTTAATAGAATTTAAACAGCATATTATTCTGTTAATGATATATAAGGTTCGTTGGCTGATTTATTCAGACCTTTGTGAAGCCAAATGAAAAAACTCCTGAGGCTAGATATTAGCGGTAAAGCGCACTGAACCTATCGCAAATCTGCTTAAGCGTTTTATGTCTATTTTTGCTATATTCTTCAGCGAAATGGTTCAACGGAAAGTGAACACCCTGGAGTAGTTACAACGATTTCTTATTGGTTGCGGTATTACCATTATCTTCATTTTTCAGATACTATATTGGAGTAGGTCTTTTTGTTAGAATGCGGCTAAAGCGTGATATTGGTGACAGCCTTCTATACTTCCACTAAAGGATTTCAACGAAGGAATGATAGACTCTTTGCTTAGGAGTATAAGCGCTTTCCAATATCTCCCCTTAGTCCTCTCCAACCTTGTCACCTTCTAATCTTGGGTGGGAGGAGAAAGATTCCATTCTTTGTTAATACACCTTATTCATTTGTGCAATCCGCTGTGTCATCCGGAACTGTCGTACCTCGGCGGTGACCAGAGATTTCCCCTGATCGCCTTAAACAGTTGAATTAACAGCCGTTATCCGCTTCTATTCCTTTTTCTCTCTTGTTGCGTTCGAAACACACAAATCTGCACTGAACTGGCGAGTAGAAGGTCCCCATCTCTTGGCGCTCACTGAAGTTTAAGGCTCGTTTTTCCCCAACCCACTTATCACCCTTTTGGCCCACTCAAGTGTGCTAACATTTTGCTCAGCCTACTTTCCAACACAGTTTTTTAACTGTCTGATTTGTTACGAGGTCCTTAGCATTAGCTGGGGACCCTATACCCCCATGAACTTAGCACAGGTTCCTCTACTAGTGCTGGCGAGTTTACCTCGCACTTCAGCTCTACCCTATCTGTCGGCAGTCTCCTACGAACGTATCGGTTTTATCATCTCAAGTGATGTCGTTTCAGCCGAGAGACTGTCCATTGACGTCGATTTCGACCAACCTTCTCCGGCGTCCTTTATTAACTGTTTTTCTCGTTATTGTTTATGTTGTAAGGATCCCCTCTCAGCGATGCTATCCAATCAATCTAATTAATAGTCCACAATAAGGCACGGCAAAAAGCAATCTGTAAGAGTGTATCGCAAAGTGTAAAAGTTAGACTTTAGTCCAAATCACATATCCCTAATATAAACAAATCTGATCATCTGGTTAGCGGTTTGTACATCAACTCAATATATTAAATTTAATCTCTTCGTCACATACATCTCATTTCATGTGATTTAATTGATATAATTTGCTGATAAGAAGTAATATGACCTAAGACCTATAATATAAGTGAATATACTATAATATAACTTCAAGTATTGCCATCACGTGAAGGTATATTTCCGTCTTTAATCCATGCAAGTTGCTAGAGGATGAAAGGTTCGGTTATACTCGAACATGGCACTTGTTTATTCTTAAAATAAAAAAAGTACATTGGGTTTTCAAAAACATTAACTGCATAAATATCTTTTAGTATACATAATAAATGTAGTGCAGCCAATTTTGAATGATTTCTTTTCTTTATACTTATATATGTATGTTTTTAGCATTTTGCAAAAAACGCCCTTAAATTCAATCACACTACATTATGTATGAGTATTTCCCCTGTGGAGAAAATTCATACCCAGCAACTGTTTTTTTAGCAGAGCCCCTATTTTCGATAGGGTGGAGATGTGCGCTTTAAGTAGGCCATTACTTAAGGAGAAAACTTTGATCATTAGAAATAATTCTCATAACCTTTGCGCATTGGTACATAAAATCTGGCAAATTCATTTCTTATTTCTTTACTGGTGTAAACACCGCAGGGCTCCAGTCATTTCTTTTTTTTTTTGCATCGTGGCGCCAATTGGAAATTCCAAGCGAAGTGGAGGTCTTCCGGTTTCTCTGCTTCCATCGGCGAGTATTGCGTCGAATACTTTCAGAGCTGGAGTGTTTCGTCTACTTCGCTGAATTATGTCAATGTCGTCGTATATCTCATATAGCTTATCGTTCCATCGAATGCGATATTCGTCACGGCCAACGGGCAAAGGACCATAAATCTTTCGCAGAACGTTTCTTTTGAAAACGTCGACTCCTCAGATGTTGTCATCGTCCTTGCCTCTGTACCATATACCACTCCACTGTGAGTTGACTGCACACAAAAATGCAGCAAACCAAAGAAAAATATGTGATAAGAATGCAATACAAAAGAACTGGGCATCTCGACAGGATAAAATTTATGTCATACTAACTGTCAAATCTATTGCTATTGCCATTGCCAAATCTGTGTGTGCTCATTTGTTATCATAACATATAGCGCATGTTTTGAGCTCTTGAACTGTTTAAATCTTTTATGAGGAAAGTAGAAAAAGGATTACGATTTCACAAATGTATTTCTGGGAAACATAAGGATTCATATTTTTGGACTACTATATAATAATTGTGGTA